AAATGGGACCTAATTAAACTCCAAAGCTTCTGCACAGCAAAATAAACAATCATTAGAGTGAACTGTCAACCAACAGAATGGGAAAAATTTTTTGCAATCTACCCATCTGACAAAGGGCTAATATCCAGAATCTACAAAGAACTAAAACAGATTTACAAGAAAAAAACAAACCCATTCAAAAGTGGAAGAAGGATATGAACAGACACGTTTCAAAAGACGACATGTATTAGGCCAACAAACATATGAAAAAATGCTCATCATCACTGATTATTAGAGAAATCAAAACCACACTGAAGTACACCTCCTGCCAGTTAAAATGGCGATCATTAAAAAAATCTGGAGACAGCAGATACTGGAGAGGATGTGGAGAAATAGGACACTTTTACACTGTTGGTGGGAGTGTAAACTAGTTCAACCATTGTGGATGACAGTGTGATGCTTCCTCAAGGACCTAGAAATAGAAATTCCATTTGACCCAGCAATCCCATTACTGGGTATATATCCAAAGGATTATAAATCTTTCTATTATAAAGACACATGCACATGTATGTTCACTGCAGCACTGTTTACAGTAGCAAAGACCTGGAACCAACCCAAATGCCCATCGATGATAGACTGGACAAGGAAAACGTGGCACATATACACCATGAATACTATGCAGGCATAAAAAACGGTGAATTCATGTCCTTTGTAGGGACATGGATGAACCTGGAAACCATCATTCTCAGCAAACTGACACAAGAACAGAAAATCAACCACCACACATTCTCACTCATAGGCGGATGTTGAACAATGAGAACGCATGGACACAGGGAGGGGAGCATCACACACTGGGGTCTGTTGTGGGTGGGGGGGGGGCGCCAAGGGAGGGACAAGAAAAAAACAAACCCATTCAAAAGTGGAAGAAGGATATGAACAGACACGTTTCAAAAGACGACATGTATTAGGCCAACAAACATATGGCAGTGGAAAGGTTGGGGAGGGATAACATGGGGAGAAATGCCAGATGTAGGTGACGGGGGAATGGAGGCAGCAAACCACATAACCATGTAGGTACCTATGCAACAATCCTGCATGATCTGCACATGTACCCCAGAAACTAAAGTACCAAAAAAAAAAAAAAAAGACTTGTTCAGGGCCAGCATAGTAGCTCACGCCTATAATCCCAGCACTGTGAGAGGCCGAGGTGGGCAGATCACCTGAGGTTAGGAGTTTGAGACCAGCCTGGCCAACATGGTGAAAACCCGTCTCTGCTAAACATACAAAAATTAGCTGCGTGTGGTGGTGCACACCTGTAACCCCAGCCACTCCGGAGGCTGAGGCAGGAGAATCACTTAAACCCGGTTAAACCTGGGATGGAAGTTGCAGTGAGCCGAGTTCATGCCACTGCACTCCAGCCTGGGCAACAGAGCAAGATTTTGTCTCAAAAAATAAAAATAAAAAATCTTGCTCACATTATGTTAAATACTGACAATTAATAAAAAAGAAAAAAGTTCTTGCTCATGCCTCAAAGAAAGGACAGTGACTGCAAACATGGGGCAGGCAGAGAAAGTCATTCAATTCAGTCACCTACTAAGAACCAGCAACTATTATGAACTTAAAAGTCATTTTTCCATTCAAACACATGAACCTGACGGAGGTATTCTGTAGATGGGGGAAATAAAATGAGGCTCATAGAGGCCGAGCAACTCTCCCAAGGTCACACAGCTATAAAAATGGAAAAACAAGTTTAGAACCAGCCGTTACTTTAGGATGACAGCATTACTGCTGACACTTATTTTCCTTTTTATGTTTATTTGCATTTCTAACTTTTCCTTGGTTAAATAATATTTTGTTGGAAAATTTTTCCAGCCTCAAATAAAAGATTAAGTCATTTGAATGAATTTGTTTAGGTTATTTCTAAATCACGATGTGACAAGAAAAAAGTAACTGGTTCCACCTTAGTCCTCACCTGTGCGGGAGGGATCCTGAATCTCTCCTCTCTCTGCCTCTCTGAGGCCCACGTAGGCCACAATAAACAGAAACATGACTGAAGCCCAGCCTTCTGAGTATCAGCACATGCTGCGCAGACACGATGCTGTGGCTTTTGAACTTCGATGGCATCGATGTGCTAATTCAGCAAATACAGTGTAAAATGAGACAGCTGGAAGGAAACTGGACCAAGTGGCAGGATCCAAAACATCTCATGGGTTTCCAGCAGGTTCAGGACTACTGGCAAGTGAGAGAAACCTGCCCATACCCTGTTAGACAAAGGGAGCGTGGGGCAGTGGCTGCTCTGAAGCAATCGCAAGGTGCTCAGCTGCTTAAAAGGACCGAGCTGAGGGCAAGGGTCCAAATTCTACTAAGTCCATTCATTTGCTTTTCTGGCTAAATGGAACTCATAATCCCATCAAGGAGACCTCTTGGCATTAATGTAAAAAGAACCTCGGGGCACACAAACAGGCTCAGAAGTGCTACCTTCCTACAGCACCAGGGTGCCAGGCTTGGGATGTCATTGTCCCTAACTGCTGAAGTCAGAGAAGCTGCCGCCTTGGGCACCAGAGGATGAGACCTGGTTCAGGAACACTCACCCAGCCAGCATATGCTGACCTCTACTCTACAAGCCAGTGGGTTTCACCCTTGAGAGCACATCAGAACTACCTGAGGGCTTTCGTTAAAGCAGGTTCCTGGGCCTCACCTGCAGAGTTTTGACGCAGTAGGTCACGTCTAGTGTGGGGCCCAAGAATGTCTAACAAGTTCTCAGTTGATATTGACGCTGCTGCTCTGGGCACCATGCTTAAGAGAACTGCTGAGATGCACTATAAATTAGGTGGTACTGTATACAGAGATGCTAAGTTGATTTCCAATCAGATTCAACTCTGGGGCACACAGAGCGTCCATCCCATCCTACCACCGATCTTTGGCCAAACCACCCTGTAAACTAAGCAAGTCTGAAGTTTCTAGAAAGACATGAGGATCTCAGAATATGTTCCTAGTAAAACTTTATTAATCTGACCTCCACTACTTTGGAAATAGTGGTCATTCAAGTACCACTTACGGTATAGGGTCTGAGTTTCGACTTGATAGAGATGCTTGATGATTGACATTGTTAGGTAATGGAGACATGACTAATTGCATATGGGGATTTTGGGGACCAACCTCTGAAAGAGTCAGTTCGCTAGGATGGGGCCCAGGAATGCTGATTTGTAAAAGCCTCTCAGGTGATTCTCATGCAGCCAGCCTCAGACAGGGCTGCACTCAGGACGTGAGAACGACTGACAGTGCGGAATGGTGCTACTGCTTGTCTGCTCCCGTGTGTTGAATAACCTCTTAGCAAATGTAGCCCGACAGTTTTATGTCGGCCTTTTACACACTAGCTGCTCAATAAATGGGTATTAACTTGTTCACTAGGGCAAAGGGTATTGAGTGGAGGGTCTTAGAACTCTGTCATTTACCCATAAGCCTTTGACCATTTATTCTAGATTCTATCACAGTAGATGCTTAATAAATACTTGCTGGATGAATGGATGAGTGGGTGAAAAACCTGGATGAGACACTAAAAGCAGCCCAGGCAATCTGCACTGGACAGCGAGTGAAAGACCTTGATCCCAGCTCCAGGTGCCACCTGAGCACCATTCCCAAGACTCTCATCGTCTATGGGCTAAAAGCTGCCAGGTCTCCAACCATGAACCCAACACCTCAAGCACAATTTCCCTTTCTGATCCCCCTCAAGCACCTCAAAATCAACAAACACACGCCACAGTCAACACCATACCAGCCCCGAACCTCTTCCTTTGCAGGGATCTTCCAGGTGAGCCAGCAGGTGGGTCAGCCGAAGCCTTGCTCCTCCTCCTCCTCCTCCTCCTCCAGTGGCCCCCACGCACCTACTCCACTGCTGACACGTGTTTAAATCTGCCTCCCAAATGTCAGGCAGTTCTAGAGATGACTCTCAAGCCTGCTCCAGGACACAGTCACCTCCTACCTGAATTACTAAGGCTATCCCAGCCAGGCTCTCTTTTGTATCTTGCCCCTTTCAACCCTCCCCAAGGCAGCGAGTTAGGCACTCGCCTGCTCAGGTCTCCGCAGTCACTCCCTAGTGCTCCTGGAGAAGTCTCATCCCTGAAGCTGGATCTCCCAGCTCTTGTCCCTACTTGCCCTCGAGCTTATCTCCTGCTGTCCCTCAGACCTGCTCCTCTGAGCTCACATGCCCCAGATGTAGTGACTGACATTTGGTTCCCCAGTGCTTTTCCATTCCCTTCTTTCCCTCTCATCTGAAAAATTCCTTTTCAACCATCGGGTCTCTCTATCACACTCCAGGAAACCTTCCCTGACCCTGAATATAGGATCCGTGACCTGTTATGGGTTGAACAGTGTTCCCCCAAAAACTCATTCTTGCCATCCTAACCCCTAACATCTCAGAATGTGACGTTATTTGGAAACAGGAACAATAGACATGTAATCAATTAAGATGAGGACATCCTGGATGGAGAAAGTGGCCCCAAATCCAAAAGAACTAGTATCCTCAGGAAAAGGGGACATATGCACATACACACACACAGGGAGGGCACCACAAGCTGAGGAACCAGCAGAAGGTCAGAGAGAGGCCTGGCACAGATCCTTCCCCGGGGTCCGGAGAGAGAGCGTGGCCCCGACACCTGCATGTTGGACTTCTTGTCTCCAGAACGGTGAGACACTTAATTTAAGCCTCTACTCTGAGGAACTTTGTTACAACTGTTCTTGCCAGCTGTCACCTGGCCTACTCTGTGTTCTCAAAGCTGCCTGCACATCCCTCGTCGGATGTACCACCGACCTGCTCACGTGGCTTCTGCCAACGGGCCTGCCACCCTCACTGTGGGATCTGTGGGCAATAAGGCCTCTGTTTCTGCTGAATGTTAGCGCTGCGACCGCAGTGCCCATCTCTGTACATGCCCATGAGATGCCCAGCCAGCGGAAGAAGAGGAGCAGCGAGGGAGCAGAGGCCTCCCAAGACACCCGAGCCCCAGCCCCAGGCAGAGACTCACAGAGATGATGTGGCCCTTCAGGCCGTGGGCAGAGTCTGCGCACTCGATGACTGCACTCAGCTGGGGGTAGCCCACTCCCGTCTTGGTGCGGGTGGTGCACACAGAACCTGCACAGAGAAAGCAGTTGACCCCAGAGGAGATGGTTATGCATGAGAAGACTGACAGGAAATGCACCCCCATCACCTTCACAGCCCCACTCTAGTGACCGGGCGAACCTTCCATAGCAGAGGAGATGTAGGGAAGGGGCTCCCCATCTGCACAGCAGAGGTCGCTGCAAACCACACCGCCTGGCCATGCACCCCTTCAGGTCCTCATTGCCGTCACTGGCTGAGGTCCCAGACATCGCCTTCCCCTCTGCCATGCACCTGTCACTGCCACTCTTCCCTGTGGCATCAGCTCCCATGCAGTGGCCAAGCACTAACCTTTCCACATGCCCACTCCTTTCCACCTTTCTACAAACCTATACTGCCCTTTTTTTTTTTTTTTTTTTTTTTGAGATGAAATCTGGCTCTGTTGCCCAGGCTGGAGTTCAGTGATGTAATCTCGGCTCACTGCAACCTCTGCCTCCCAGGTTCAAGAGATTCTCCTGCCTCAGCCTCCTGAGTAGCTGGGACTACAGGCACATGCCACCGTACCCGGCTAATTTTTGTATCTTTAGTAGAGACGAGGTTTCACCATATTAGCCAGGCTGGTCTCAAACTCCTGACCTCATGATCTGCCTACCTTAGCCTCCCAAATACAGTTTGCTTTAAAGGACCTCTCGAAATCCTCCCACAGCCTCATAGCTGCTTTACCTCCAACCTTTGTCAAATGACTCACCTCTCTTAAGCCTCACTGCCTGCATGAGAATCACCAGAGGGGCTTTTACAAATCAACGAGGGACACTGCTTGGCCCAGGGCCTGGCCTGCAGCAGCCACACCCTCCATACCCTCACCTGCTGTCACCCAGCTCTGTCCTGCATGTGGCCCAGCTGCTGGTCCATCTCCCTCCCGGCTGCTCCACCTCAGGTCCCTTGAAGCCTCGCCCCCGGCGGTTCACTTACAGCCTGCCTGCCTGTCTCCCAGTCAGCCCCAGTCCTGGTTGTTCTCCCAGGTGGGTCCAGGCCAAGTTGCACTCTGGCCTCTTTATCACACCTCCCCTTATTCCAGCTTCCTGGGCCACCACAGCACCCACCTCCCAGAACAGCCGATTCAAGCTCCACCTGCTCCCTCCCTCCCCACTGCTTCTCCAGTGAGGCAAGTTTCTTCCCACCTTCGGGGTTCTGTACACAATGTTCTCTCTCAGACACTCCCTCTGTACCAGCCTGCCTTGTCTAGACAACCCCTTCTCATCTTTCCAGACCCTTTTTTTTTTTAGATGGAGTTTCGCTCTTGTTACCCAGGCTGGAGTGCAATGGCGCGATCTCGGCTCACTGCAACCTCCGCCTCCTGGGTTCAGGCAATTCTCCTGCCTCAGCCTCCTGAGTAGCTGGGATTACAGGCATGCGCCACTATGCCCAGCTAATTTTTTGTATTTTTAGCAGAAACGGGGTTTCACCATGTTGACCAGGATGGTCTGGATCTCTTGACCTCGTGATCCACCCGCCTCCGCCTCCCAAAGTGCTGGGATTACAGGCGTGAGCCACTGCGCCCAGCCCTTCCAGCAGCTTCTTAAATGTCACTGCCCCAGGGGAGTTGTTCATCACAGTTTCAAAGAGAGGCATTTCCATCAGGATTTGTGTGAGAAGGCTGCGGGTCTGTCTTCTCTGCTGGGTGGTGGGCTCTACGGACAGTCACTGTTATTATCAGGTGCTGAGAACAGAGTATACAGTAAAGGACTATAAATAGTCACTGAAAGAACGCGTGGACTCAGGATGAAAGAGCCCCCACATCCCTCTCCCCACTGCCACTCACTCAGCCCCTCCCAGATGTCTTGTAGTGCACATAGAGGGCGCTCTGGGGACAGGGTAAAGGTGGAAGTGAACTGCCCACCAGACCGGGGGTGGAATGCTCTGAGGCCCAGCCTCCTCTCCGGCTCCTGGCTGCCACCACCTTGAAGGATACGAATTCCTGCCAGGGGTCTTTAGGGGCAAGATCAGACAGAGGAGCATGTCCATGTTCCCCAGGCCTGGATTTAGCACAGAAACCAGGAGAGACAGGGCAAGTGCCTCTCCTGCACCAGCTGTGGGGCAGAATCCACCCAAGTCCTACAGCTCTCTTCATCTCGCTATGTGTCACTCACAGTCCTAGAACCAAGAAGTCTCACTCCCATGAAGGCACCTTCCCCCTGCCCCTCACCCTGCAAGCAGACGCTGTGCATGGCAGAATAAGAATTTAACCCCTGGTTCAGCCTCAGCTTTTCTCCTCCTCTCCCATTCAATTGTTAGAACCAGCGGTGGGGGGCCTCCGCTGCAGCAGGCCCGGGACTCTGATGGAAGTGAGGGCCCTACAAAGAGCAGACCAACTGCTTTCTAGAAAACAGCCAAGGAAAAAGCTTCACATAAGTTACAGGTGTGGTTCTGATTAACACACAGGTGAAAGAAGGAATTGGTACAGATTTTCTCCTGACTAGAGGGGCAGGGAATCCATTTCTGATGCTTTTTTCCAGTTCCCAGAAGTTGCTTAATAATGAATGATATCTATCAATCAATAGACATCCAACAATGCTATCGTTTAGATATGTAACAAGCAATGTTTTTACCATAAAGAATGTGTAAGACTTAAATATGGTCTCCAAACAATTTAAAGAAGTGTCTCCCATGCATCAGGCTCAGAGGCGGCCCCTTATTCTCTTTAGTCACGTCTGGTCTACACAGACAGCCAGAGGGGTAGGGAGAGACGGTGACAGTGAAAGGACAATACAGCTTCTGGGCAAACAGAATGCAGACACATGACATGCAAGAAGAAAACAAATGCAATGAATGCTCGAGATCACATCTAGAAAAGCTTTCAGAGGGCTGGGTGCGGTGGCTCACACCTGTAATCCAGCACTTTGGGAGGTCAAGGCAGGCAGTTACCTGAGGCCAGGAGTTCAAGACCAGCCTGGCCAACACAGTGAAACCCCGTCTCTACTAAAAGTACAAAAAAATAGCAGGCACGATGATGCATGCCTGTAATCCCAGCTACTGGGGAGGCTGAGGCAGAAGAATCACTTGAGCCCGGAAGGCGGAGGTTGCGGTGAGCCAAGATCATACCACTGCACTCCAGCCTGGGCAACAGAGCAAGACTCTGTCTCCAAAAAGAAAAAAAATACAAGAAAAAAAGCTTCGAGAGCCAAGAAGCTTCTCACACACCTTCATATCCCATACAGCACCCGCCCAGCACAATGGTAGCTAGCACACACTCAATACATATTTCCTTTGTCTCTCCTGAGACAGGGTCTTGGTCTGTCACCAAGACTGGAGTGCAGTGGTGCCATCTCGGCTCACTGTAACCTCCACCTCCCAGGCTCAGGTGATCCTCTCACCTCCGCCTCCCAAGTAGCTGAGACTATAGCTGCACGCCACTGTGCTTGACTACTTTTTTATTTTTATTTTGTATTTTTAGTAGAGACAGGGTTTCACCATGTTGCCCAGGCTGGTCTTGAACTCCTAGGATCAAGCAATCCACCCACTTTGGCCTCCCAAAGTGTTGGGATTACAAGTGTAAGCCACCACATCAGGCCCATATTTCTGATTAAACAGGTGATCAGTGAGTGGCCCTGACTTTGAGAAAAAGAGGAATCTTCCTAGTCTACTAGTGTATTTTGTTCTATTATCGGTCTGTCTATTACAGCCTGCCCCAAGAGCAGAGAGTCTGGCAAGGAAGAACGGGGCTTTATCCTTGTCTTTTCAATAATGGCAGACAGTAAAGACCAGAGTCATCTTCTCACTTGCCCAGAATATATTAACTGGCTTATATGAGCGGCATATCAAAAACTTCACCTTGAAAATCTCCCTGTATGTTAAGAGCTTGGGCGTCTTTATGAACCTGCAGGGCTCTTCCTCCTAATATTCTCTTCATACACATACAATTCCGTCAGGCTGATCACGGAGCCAGGTGACAGCTCAACAGCATCTCCTGCGCCTCCCAGTTGTGTGTTTTCCCAGATTCCTCTCACATTGGTTTAGGTTTGCCTCCTCTTTGGTAGTGGGAGTTGGGTGCAAGATGCTTTTTAAAAATCTTTGCTGTTTTTTAGTTGGAGGCGAAAATGTGTGTCTTTCTTTCTTGCTCTTCAGTTTTAGTGTCTGGCTGATACCAGATGTGCATGGATGAATTTAAAACATGGCAGCTCATCTTCAAGGATGGCAAAAAGGGAACGTGAACAGCAACTCTGCCCCATGAGAAAACGGTGCCACCCATGACAAGGACAGAAGGCTCTACCTCATTTTTCCACTTAAGATGTCCATGGGTGGGCCGGGTGCAGTGGCTCACACCTGTAATCCCAGCACTTTGGGAGGTTGAGGTGGGCATGTCATGAGGTCAGGAGTTTGAGACCAGCCCGGCCAACATGGTGAAACTCTCTCTACTAAAAATAATTAGCTGGGCCTGGTGGAGGCGCCTGTGATCCCAGCTACCCAGGAGACTGAGGCAGGAGAATTGCTTGAAACTGGAAGGCCAAGGTTGGAGATCACGCCATTGCACTCCAGTCTCGGCAACAGAGCAAGACTCCATCTCAAAAAAAAAAAAAAAAAAAAAAAAGAAAAGATGCCAATGGGTGGTCCTGAGAGCATGCCTGGGAGAAGAACATGGGCAAAATCTATGTCCAATATGTATCAGGGAGAAGCCAAGGTGATAATTACCTAGGCCATGGGTCAAGTTCAAATGTGGCATCATCATGCAAGCTTATTTGCACAAGCCTTACCTGGTCCAACTCCCACTTTGATGATGTCTGCTCCGGAAAGGATAAGCTCTTCTACCATTTCTCCTGTCACCACGTTCCCTGCCTGAGACAAAGAATACAGCTCACGATCATCAATTACTATTGCTGGTAGCAAGGTCAGGAACTCCATACCCAAACACAATGCTGTGCATGCCCTATAGCCACCAGGCAGCTAGGGGACAAAAAAACACAGAATTTTATACCTGGAGACCACTTTTGGGAAAGGCCCCTGGGTGAGGTGTTGGCATAAGAAGATACAGCGTTATATAATTTAAAAACCAGAAGAGATCTTACAGTGTCCAGGTCAGGGCTTTTAGGATATCCAACAACAATAACAAAAATCTTAGAGGGAACCCAAATACAGAAAATCAGCAATGAAACACTCTTTTGGTGATTAAAATATTTAGTGTTGGGCAAAAATGCTTCCTGGTTGGCAAAACCCCTGAAGAATCTCTATGGAACCCAAGAGTCAGAATTAGAAAACAGGTAAGAAAATGGCAGTGTGCCCCACTCTCTAGGGCTGGGATTCCCATCTAGACAGGAAAGGGCAGATGAGCCCTCATGGACCACCTAGCGTCAGCACGTGCTCAGTTTACAGAACATGAAGCTTTGGCCTAAGAATAAACAACCAAGCCTCCAGGAAGTGGCGCAATCTATCAACCAGAAGAATGTGTCTGGTTTGGAAATAGTACAAGTTCTTTCACTGCAGGAGTCTAGGAGTACAAAAATAGCCCTTTTCATTACAACTCACTGCCCTGTGGATTCTTCAGCCAGTATATAGGATACTTGGCAAGGTGCCCTGGCTGAGTTTTCACAACTGTACAAAGTCATATTTTGCAAAATGAATCCTTACTCATTCCACTCTTTTTTTTTTTTTTTTTTTTTTTGGCACTGAAGCCCAAGTGTCTTCTCCCTGAATTGCTTCCCAGAGGGAATTTCTTTTTTTTTTTTGACCTAGACAAAGCGACTTTTAACTTCATATAAAAGGATGCGGGGAAAAGGTGATGAGGAGGGCTCAAAGACAGTTTAATCCAAACAGCAGCTGACAACAGAAAAATCACAGATGGTCCAGAAAAAGGGCTAGAGGTAGATTAAAGAATTAAAGTTACACTCCCCAAATTCAGAAGGAAACCCTGAATACTTACAACAAGCATAAAGGTGGGAAAACACAGCAACAGAGCTGTCTACATAAAAAGTAAAAACTTGGCCAGGCACAGTGGCTCACGCTTATAATCCCAGCATCATCGGGAGGCTGAGGTAAGTGGATTGCTTGAGCCCAGGAGTTCAAGACCAGCCTGGGCAACATGGTAAAACCCTGTCTCTATGTTAAAAAAAAAAAGAAAAAAAATAACTTACATGCACATAAACCCAGATATTCCTATAATCAACAAATACGCGGGTAGAAAAAAAATCTACAATTTGACAAAGGGTTATTTCCCTTAACATAGTAAGAGCTCTTACAAATCTGTAAGAAAAAAGCTCGCACATCACAGAATAAGTGCCAAAGGACATGAACACACTAATAAAGTGGCTAAGAAAAATGGAAAAGGTGTTCAACCTCACAAATAACCAAATGTAAATTAAGGTACCAAATGTAAATTAAGGTACCAATGTTAAGGTACTTTTCACTTAACAAGTTATCAATAGTTGTAAACAGTAAATGCTAAAGAGAAACATCAGACAGAATCTCTTTTTGCTGGGAAAACTTACTGTAGTATGAGTTTTCCTAGAAAGCAGTTTGTCCATATAGAATAAATATGCACTTCCTTTTATTCAGTAATTCTAAGATTCTCTTCCAAGGAAATGATCATAAGTAAGAACAAAGATTTAACTACACAGACGTATTATCTGTAACACTGCAGAACTGTAAGTATATTCCCCAAAACGGGAATGATCCAACAATTTATGGCCCATCCATGTGATATTTTTAAGAGTGTTTTTTTTTGTTGCTGTTTATTTTGTTTTGTTTCTGAGATGGAGTCTTGCTCTGTCACCCAGGCTGGAATGCAGTGGTGCAATCTCGGATCACTGCAACTTCCACCTCCTGGGTTCAAGTGATTCTCCTGCCTCAGCCTCCTTAGTAGCTGAGATTACAGGCACTCACTACCATGCCCGGCTAATTTTTGTATTTTTAGTAGAGAAAGTGTTTCGCCAAGTTGGCCAGGTTGGTCTGGAACTCCTGACTTCAGGTGATCCACCAGCATCAGCCTCCCAAAGTGCTGGGAATATAGGCATGAGGCACCACGCCCGGCCTAAGAGTGGTTTAACAGCATGAGAAAATGCTGAAAGGCTTTTAGTATAATGTTGGGAGAAACAGGTCTCAATTTTGTGTGTGTGTTTTTGTTTTTTTTTTAAAGTATATGTGTGTATGAAAAGTGCTAACAGATGATGTCTTGGTGAAGAGATGATCTAAGTTTTATTGCTTTTCTTCATTAATCTTTTCTGGATTTTATACTAGAAAGTATGTTACTTTTATAATTAAATGGGAGCAGGAGCGTTTAATTTTTTGGTTTATACTGCGAGGGACAGCATGAGGTCTGTCCCCAAGAGATAATCTAACAGGAGTGTAAGAAGCAGGGCGCAAGCTCCAGTTCTTCCCCCAACAGCCGACTTGCTAAACCACCACACAAAACCACAAAAACCTTAGAGAAGCTACTCTAAGCCCACCCACACAATTACCACACAATTTCATTTCCTTTTCCTTTTTTTTTTTTTTTTTTTTTTTTTGAGACAATTTCACTCTTGTCTCCCACGCTGGAATGCAGTGGCTCAAACATGGCTCACTGCAGCCTGAACCTCCCAGGCTCAAGCAATTCTCCTGCCTCAACCTTCCAAGTAGCTGGGATTACAGGCGCCCACCATATCTGGGTAATTTCTGCATTTTTTGTAGAGACAGGGTTCCACCATGTTGCCTAGGATGATCTCAAGGTCCTGAGCCTCCCAGCTGGGATTACAGGCGTGCACCACCACACCTGGCCAATGTGTGTATTTTTTGTAGAGACGAGGTTTCACCATGTTGCTAGACTGACCTCAAGGTCCTGAGCTCAAGCAATCTGCCCACCTTAGTCTCCCAAAGTGCTGGAATTACACGAGCCACCGCACCCGGCCAATTTCATTTTCAATGTGGATTTCTTTTCCCCAATCTGGTGTCACCTACGATCCATTTTATTTTGAAGGGACTACTTTAGACAAAAATAAATTAATTCAAGTCAGCTCACCATACACAAAGCAGGTATAACAAGGCAGAGTCAAAGTTAAGTTCTACTTATTTTTAAAACAGAAATGGGGTCTTGCTATGTTGCCCAGGCTGGTCTCTTAACTTTTGGCCTCAAGTAATCCCCCCACCTGCCTCCCAAAGTGCTGGGATTACAAGCATGAACCACCTCACCTGGCCAAAGTCAGTTTAAAAACATCAAGAAGGCTGACACTGCTTTAGTAACCCAGAAGCTTGTGCAAATGTCTCTCCCTCCCATCAGCTACCTGTGTTGCTGCTGAATCTGTCTGTGGTCCAAACATGGTCACTGCCACTGTGTGGAAAAGCCCGAAGTGATTAGTAAATGCTTCAACCATGAGGCACAGCACAGCAAGAATGCTGCCAGGAGGACGGGGAGTTTCCACTGGCAGGAGCAAAAAGCTATCCAAGTTTTAAATCAAGAGGGGCAAAATAAGGGAAAAGAGGAAAAGACCAAATCACAACTGAGAACACGACAGGAGTGTGGTCAGGCTTTAGTGAGGTCCCCGGTCTGCCTCCAAGCAGCCTCTGGGCATGGGGTGATAATGGGGACCAGGAAGAAGCTGGTTGGGGTGATGAAGTAAGGAGTCCATTTTTTTCTTCTCATGAAGCACCTTAGGTGTGGGGCGGATACAGGACTGTCAGAACGGGACTGCACATAGCAGTACAGCAGGCTCGGTCACCCAGGCCGTTCATGCAGGTTCATTTCTTGGGCAGCCATGACAATATGGAAGCAAGGAACCTTTGAGGCAGGCAGATGGAGGTTTCTGCTACACATCCCTTCTTCCTAGGGAAGCCAAGCATGTTCCAAGCTCCCTCGTGCTCTGGAAGGCAACAATTGCTCCTCTGTATCAAGGAGAAGTTGAAGGTCATGGAAGAGACATAAAAAAGTGGCCAAGCCAGCCAGGTGCAGTGGTCGTGCCTATAATCCCAGCACTTTGGGAGGCCAAGGCAAGTGGATCGCCAGGTCAAAAGATCAAGACCATCCTGGCTAACACAGTGAAACGCCGTCTCTACTAAAAATATAAAAAAATTAGCCAGGCATGGTGGTGCATGCCGACAGTCCCAACTACTCGGGAGGCTAAGGCAGGAGAATCCAGGAGAGGAGGGATGCAGTGAGCCGAGATCATGCCATTGCACTCCAGCCTGGGCAACACAGCGAGATTCTGTCTCAAAAAGAAAACAAAAAAAAGTGGCCAAGCCAAGACTTCAAGTACTTTTGTACCATTTTTTAAGTTGGTATGGTCTGAATGTTTATATCCCTCCGGAATGCAGGTATTGAAATCTCTACCCCCAAGGCGATGTTATTAGCAGGTGGGGATTTGGGGAGGTGATTAGGTCATGGGGCAGAGCCCTCAACAATCGGATTAGTGCCCTTCTAAAAGAGGCCTGAGAGAGATCCACATGACATTACAAAGAAAAGACAGCAGTCTATGTAAGATCAAGGAAACAGCCCCTCACTGGATACGGAATCTGCCTTGATACTGAACTTCCCAGCCTCTAGAACTGTGAAAATAAACTTCTGATTTGTATTTTATTTATTTATTTTGAGACAGGGTCTCACTTTGTCCCCCAGGCTGGAGTGTAATGGCACAATCACAGATCACTGCAACCTCAACTTCCCAGGTTCAAGTGATCTTCCCACCTCAGCCTCTCAAGTAGCTGGGACTACAGGCATGCGCCACCATGCCTAGCTAAGTTTTTTGTATTTTTAGTAGAGATGGGGTTTCTCCATGTTGGCCAGGCTGGTCTCAAACTCCTGGGTTCAAGCAATCTATCTGCCTTGGCCTCCTGAAGTGCTAGGATTACAAGTGTGAGCCACCACACCAGGC